AGAAAAATAATCACTTGAAAAACGTTAACGAACCTTTATTATTAATTATCAACGCTACAGGAGAGGATATTCTTCATTTTTCGATAGGCCTACGAGTTCTAAGAATATTCTACGATTTATTAGGGAAATGTTGAATACAGGTATGCCAAAATAACACGCATGAAAAAATTCAACAGAAAAACCTAGCGCTTTCTATTAAATTTCTATTGGAATTCTATGAGAATTCTCTGGAAGTTCTATTAGAATTCTATTCGTTTCTTGCGCCGATTCTATAGGAGATTATGCAACTTCATAGAGTCTTTTTGTTAAGGTAAAATTTGGTGCAAGAAAGTAAATAGGTTTTTATGTTCCTATAGATTTTCTTAGGCATAAGATTTCTAAGTTTTTCCCGCTCGGTTTTTCTTCTTTTCTTTTAATCAAATGCAGGAACAAAACTTGGAAAATTCATGCCCAGTAGTTTCTGTGGAAGAAATCCTAACAGAATAAATTATCTAGAAAAATCAATGGATTTTTTTCTACAAACAAATATCTATTAAAAATGCAGGGGAAAGTTGCATAATTTTCAATGGCATTGACGCAAAAAAAATAGAATTTTTCAATAGAATTGCAATAAAACTTAAATAGAATTCAATAGGAATTCTTAGAGAAAGTGTCAAGTTTTATATTCGATGACAGAGGGAAAAATCAGTAAATTTCAAATTTTATAGAAAGTTCAGTGGAATTCCATTTTTTTTTTTATAGTAAGAAGACAAGGATTTTCCAAAGTATTCAAATTTTAATTCGATATTCTAAAAATGCATAAATATCATTCTATTCCACCCTCCACTCGAAACGACACGACTCAATCGGAGCTGAGTTCTAACCGTTGAGCCACAGTTCAAACTCAAGTGCCGGGTTATGCCGTCTGATGAGCGTTCGACTGTGAGCCGGTATGGAGCGGCGTGTCGCGGCGTGAACTCGGGTCAAGCGGCAAGCTGAGGCTGAGCTCGCGCTCACCCGAGTTGCGGCTCAATCCCCGGTTGAATTTCTACGCGGGTAGACACTGTCCTTTCTCTCGTAAAGGCGGCTAAAAATTCTCGGCGATACATTCCCTTGAAAAATATTTTCATCCCGTTGCGTAACTGGAGCTTTTGTGAAATCTCTCACAGGGGAGACTCAAGGCAATCACAACATAACCTTCTGCTTCTCAGCCGATTACTTCAAAGTTTTCCAGCGAGGTTCTCCGTCCCCAGTGTAATTTTACACCCGGCAACCGTTATCTTCATTGTCGTTCTGTAGTTCTTGGAGTTTTGGTAGAAAATAGGACTTCAATTTAGATAGCCAATGACAATACGGAGTGAAATTGCAATCGACATTGCCATCTCCTGAGATTTTCTTTATCCTCACGTACCGTGATGTTGCTGTTCCGCTTCTCTCTACATGGAGAGAAAGAATCAGTAAAAAATACGGAACAATTCATGTAATCCGTAATAGGGAATCGTTTTCCGGTAATTTTTATAGGAATGGAAGAGAAGAAATTTGAAACGTTCAGTGAATTCTCGGTTCATCACCGAACAAAGTACGAAATTGTGACATAATTTTTCCCGAAGAAGTAAAATCTTGCAGAAAATTCTCGACTTATTATGTCTCCAAAATCAAAAATTCTTGAACATTCAACAATTTTTATGAAGCTGGTAAGTTATTTCTACGTTCCGTTCCGTAAAATTTCTCAATCGTTGGGAAAAAATTACGGAACGACTTGTCCCCACAGCGGTGAGTCATCAGATGGGTGGCTAATTTTTCCGGAACAAATCGTAGAATTTACGTGGCGATTCGTACAATTTCAGGTACGATTCACACGTTTTATTGAATTTTCCTCTCCGTGTATTTTCTCTCATTTACTTAGCTCATTAAGGTTAGACCTGCAAAGGAAATTAGGGAATGAACGTATTCGTGAACAGCGCAGCATATTTGAATTACTATACCTCAATAGTATATTTCTAACCTAGAGAAGTAAAACAAACAAGCCAGACAAAAATTCGTCACCCTGATAACTCCTTCACAACCCTTCCAATGCGCTACTTTAATGGAGAATTTCGGCTGACTGCTGGGGAGGCCTTGCTCACCTTCACATATAACTGGTGATATTCTGTATCTCCTCAGTCGTTACCTCATCGTCCTATACTGTCTGATCTCATCACACACTGAATCTTCTAAAAATTATCTATATTTTTTCCATCCTCACCCGATAAAATCAACACAAACTAACTTTTCTTCTGCTGTTGTGAAATGTCACACTGATAGACTGATTCATTTATTCCAAACGAGATTCGTCAACTATTAACGAATGGTAGAGTTGAATATGACCAAATGAATATTCGTTAATAGTTAACGAATGAACCGACGGCCGTGGCTGTGTGGTTAGAGTATGGGATTGGCACGTGAGCGACCCGAGTTCGATACCCGGCTGGGGAGCTAAAATTTGTAACACTCTAATCTCACAGTTTCACTGTCGAGCGAGAGTCTCGTTAAAGGGACGACTGTACCTGGGCAGGTTTTTCCCTCAAGTGAGGTTTTTCCTCGTCCTTGGGTGAATGCGGTACAGGGGGCTGGGGGGTGGTAAGGCAACACACCGTAAAAACCCGAAAGGGTATACGACAGAAAATAAAAAAATAGTTAACGAATGGTTCACTTGAAAAGTGAAAATCGAGTCAAAGAAGGCTCCTCAAATGTGCATTTGTCAACTATTAACGAATGAACATTTGGTGCGACCAAATAGGCCCTCATCTCCAACCAAATCCATTCGTTAACAATAATTAAACCTTTCTATCAGTGCACGTACCTCAAATGTCAATACTTGGTTGCAGGCCCTTGGGCGATGGTCGGTTGCAAGTTCCTGCAAGAACTTGCAACCGACAAATAAATAAATACAGGAGTGATACCTACGTACTGAACTAGCGGTGGCAAGCACACGGTTAAGGGTCCTTTATTTTACCTCCGGTGGGTAGAACGCTATTTTCCGTCATGTCTAACAAGGAACACTAGGTAGGTATCCGCCCCCGATTTTGATGAACCTTGAATATGTTATAAAGGACTCAAAACTAAGTGCCACGTATTTTTGTATCGGCCCATACGCGGGTTTAAGGGGTGAAACTGCCCTCTGAACTTGACCACCTCCCGGGGTATTTCTTTAATTTGCGCACATATTTCTTTAATTGCGGCTCTTGAAAATCTAGAGATGTTTCTTCAATCATTTCAACGCCATTGTATTCCTCCAAGGATTGAATTAATATCCTTTGGAAGGTGTCCGCTAATTCACGTTCCTCTTTGTTCACAGGCGTTTTAGCAAGATTGAGAACTTCAAATGTTGTCATGAGAAGAATGATAACGTTGATTGGATTAACTTTCATTATGAAACGGACACAGAAACACGATACCCACGGAGAGACTTTTTTCGTTGATGGACACTTGTAAACTGATTGTGATTGTATTTGCATGAGGAATTCAAACGTAAAACACCGATATTGTAAGCCGTGCATATTTATTACCGTGATGTTATTTTTAAACAAGACAGATGACATTCGGATGGATATTTTTATAACTCTGGCATACTATTCTGATGCGGATTTGAATTATCGCGACAATGTCATTATCATACGTCCTCATTAAATTCTTTTCAAAAACAATATAAACATCAGGGTCGTAAGATCATCTCATGTAAAAGTTATTTTCAATTCATTCTATTCTACACCACTGGCCAAATTTTTTCCAGGAAAGATCCAAAAGAGACATCGCGTGTTTTTTTCATGCTTTTTCAAATCGAAATCATTCCATAAATTTCGGGCAATAGTTTTTTCATGGGGAAACTGACTCTTCATGGGGGTAGTTTGACCCCCAAACTTCATCCTTCGAAGACGATTCCAATGGTTTTTCTCATCATTCCCCATGAGCTTTTTTTTATACTGCAAAAAAATTCAAAGTGGGCCAATTCCAGGAAATTGATCTTCTTTTGCCTTTAAATTGCAATTTAAAAAAGAATGCAAAAAAGGTATTTTGTATTTTTTATGCACTTTCAAATGAAATTGGTCTCCTGAAATTCGGAGCGATATATATTTTTTTTATTGAATAAATGACTTTTCACGGGGGTAGTTTACCCCCGAAATTTCACTCCTCAGAGATGATTTCAATTTCTATCATAATCATTTTTCATGAGCTTCCTGTTATATTGCAAAAAAATTGTCTAAATATTCTCCCTATGTGCGCAATTGAAGAAATACCCCGGGAGGTGGTCAAGTTCAGAGAGCAGTTTCACCCCCTAAACCCGCGTATGGGCCGATAAAAAAAAGACGTGGCACTTAGTTTTGAGTCCTCTATAACATATTCAAGTTTCATTAAAATCGGGAGCGGACATCTACCTAGTGTTCCTTGTAAGACAGAAACTTAGATTATCCCCTTTCAAATTATATTTTGTTCCTCCACTCCTCCACAAAAGAACTACATAGCTCTTGTTCAAGCGTTTGGTCTCCAACTTTTATTTACGTCTCTGCTGAGGCAACGAAATCTGTATGCCAACTCCACTGAAACGGATCTATTGAGAAAATCCAACACAACAGTTCCTTTGCAAATTCTTCTGCATATACCTTCAGCCCTTCTAGAACATCTTCCCGGAGTACCAATTCAAGTGCAGACTCGTGTGAATTTCAGTGTAATTGGAGTCACCTATCACTTGACCGCAATCTCACTTTCTATGGAGAATTTGAATTATCGAGAGTATTCTCAAGTGTTGGTTGAGGAAGGTAGTGGTACTCGACCGTATTACTATGCGCCGTATTTCTTCCCATGTAGAGTTAATCATAACAGCCAATTTGTCACGTACTTTTGAATTCATTTCAATTGAAGCACTTGTGAGAGCTGAACTCATCGATTGCTTCGGCAATGATTTCCCATCTCCACATTTTCATTAAAATAATACACAAGGAACTTGGAATATTATTCAGTACAAGCAAACTTTATGTCTCCAGTTTTCAGGTGACGAGTCTCGGAGATTATGTATGAGGAGTGTAGCGTCGACCGAAAAAGGAGCATGTAGTACTAGTCTGGGAGTTGCCACATATGGTTCACTCGTCTTTCAACTGAAGGAATCCCACAGGGAGGCGAATGGGACCTGTGACTTTGTGTTGAAGGCCATGAGGGTAGTCAGCAAAACGATGGTGGTGACAATTTGCCTCGTGTGTCTCTCCACGGTGCCTCTCCTGATGCTCATTATGGGTATGCTTGAAATTAGAATAATACTTTCCTTTATATACTTTTCCATTATGTGCAAGCTTCGTGAGACCTGATTGCGCTGTTCACCGGATATTGGAGACTGAAATATTGAAATATGGGGGGAGAAATTTTCGACGAAATATTTACATAATGCACCATTCCAAGAATAGCAAACATCACCGACGGTATCCGGTTAATTCATCCCTGGATAATTCATCCCAAACAATTTCATCCCACGGCAGTTTCATCCCATTTTTTTTATTATTACTGTTTGGATAAAGAATACGCTTGGCTGAAGCGCGTGAGTTATCGGATTAATTTTCAAATTTTGTACCGATTTTGTAAATCGATGCTGTGGTCTATTACATGTGGCCTATCTGGCGAACGTTAGTTGAGATGGATAACAATGATTTGACCATTTTTTTGCAATGTTCCTGTTAATCTGTTGATCGGTTGTGTAAACAATCCTAGGAGGGAATCGTGATGTATCTGATTGATCTGGGTGTTTTGTTTAGTGCCTTTTTCTGTGAAACTAAAGTTAATATTTTTCTCTCCCTGAATTAGTCTTGAGATCGTGAAAAATTCGATTGAAATTTGATGTTTGGGATGAAATTGTCGTGGGATTGATTTGTTTGGGGTGAATTGTACGGGATGAATTGGTTTGGGATGACTAGTCCGGGATAAATTCACCTAGAACCATCACAGACTGAACATTATAATTCAAACCCCGAAAGTTGATGAATTATCAACTTTATGCTCCCCAATGGAAGCATTGGCATCGTCCAATTTTGAAATTCGTTAATTTTAGTTGGAAGTGATGTGGAACGGTCTGAAACGTAAAAATACGAAGTTTCGCGATCATGTCTATAAGTGGCTAAAGTAATTCCAAAAAATCTGAAATTTCATCAGATTATGGATTTTAATGAGGACTAATTCCGTGCAAAATTTCAGCCCGTTCGATTTAATAATTTTTCAGAAAAAGCGACTCGTTTTCAAATCGTTTTTGGCAAATATCTTCAAAACAAATAGACCGATTTCGATTTTTTTGTTTTCGAAATATTCGTTTTGATGCCTTCTATTTAAATAAATGAGAACATATACACCCGTTCATACAAAGTTTTCGAGATATTCCCATTTTTTCGTTTTTACGTAAAAAAAAACTTTGTAATCACCTTAGTTTGTACAAAAATCGAGACATCAACTTCTATATTTTCCCTGGGCTATTTTACTCGGTCAAAATTTAGTGTTTTAAGGTACCAATCACATGGAAAGCAGGATGCTATATGCTATCTTTCGACTTTCCGACCCTCTATACGAGGGAAACAGTTAAATAACTAACAATGCACAAATGAAAAAATGCGAAGTCACACGGACTCGAACCTAGATGGGGTATAATCCCACATCTCCGCACTGGCAAAAAAATGAAATTTCAGGTTTCACTAAAAATTCAGTAAAATTCCAGAATTTTAAGCAACATACAGATGAGAATTCCTTAATTTATTTGAATGTCCAATCTCATATGAATATTCAGTACGGAATTACAGTAAATTTTTAGTGAAATCCGAATTCTCATGATTTTTCCCCCTAAATCGCATTCAGTGTCACTGTTTTGAAAATTCAACAATATATTTACCGAAATTTTCTGCTTTTCTATTCATTTTCGGTGAAAAATGCAACTCAAATTTACAGTTCTCTTTGATTCTTCCACGAAATTCTGAATTTTCAATGACGAAATTCCTTCAAATTTCTATGGTAATTAAATTCCATAAAAATTTCTAAAAAGTGTACAGGAAATTTCAGGCACAACATTTTTAACAGTGCAGTTTGCTGGACTGATGCTCTGCTAATTGAGCTACCGAGGCCTCCTCGATATCTCAATTCAAGTTATCAACTTGAAATTTGGACAGAAAATATATATAGCCGTTCATACGAAGTATTCGAAACATCGTAATTTTTATAGCACCCATCGAGGTGGCAGTAAACATCTGAACTTTTTGCTGCTAGTTAGTGTTGTAAAGCTATAAACTTTTGTAATATTTCAGACAATTGGGAAGACCGACATTAAGGTATTGATGGTGAAAAAAAATAAAATATCACTCTGTGACATGCTTACTGTCACAAGGCGCGCTGTCATATGCTCGCTGTCCCCCTGTTTGTTTTTAGTTATAACGCACTGTTGACATAAACGTAATAATTTTGGAGAAGAAAAAAATCATGAACACACACAGTGCACATTTAAAAGTCCTCGCCCTTCAGCATCCACCGGAATAATAGAAAGCACGAAAAAGCCGTGAGGTAACTAAATTGGCTTGAATAAATTATCGATCCGCCGGCGATAATCGACTGTCGGGAGTTATGACACGCGAACTTCATACAGCCCAAAACGAGCTTCGAGCCCTATCCGACATGCAAGCACACTTAATTTCACCTGTGCCACTGGCCTCTTGTCAGAGAGGCCACAAAGATCAATATACGTTCAGAGCTATACACAGTGGATAGTGTGTCACCAGTATAATGTATAATTCCCTGAAAATGTGCAAATGAGAATTTTAGAGCATTTGTTGAATGTGAATTCGTGTTACTCACATCATTCAAGTAAATAGTACATCCCTTTCTGAGTATGACACATGGCATGGATATATTCTGAGTCTGAAAATCTCATTTGGTGTCCAGGAAAAAAGTAGATCTTCTTTAGAAATAGTTTTTTTACGACCTCTGGGTTCGTACTTTGACATCTGTATAGGAGTCTGCCCTCTGTGGTTTTATTATGAGAGTGCTCTCCTTGGAAAATGATACCGTACTCGGAATATGTGTGATGGAAAAAGTTTCCTGACAGAAGCGCAAATTCGGTGGATGTCCGTAATAGACTTAATGCGCAGTCACAGAAAGAATTGCAGATGAATGGAAACAGTTGAGCTTTGATAATAATTCCAGAAATATTCAAGTGTCTTCGTAGTTCTGAGAATCTAAAAAAGCGAATACGAGGAACCCTAGTAGAAACCAAATGTCCGACTCGGGTAGAAATTCAACCGGGGATTCAGCCGCAACTCGGGTGAGCGCGAGCTCAGCCTCGGCTTGCCGCTTGGCCCGAGTTCACGCCGCGACACGCCGCTCCATACCGGCTCACAGTCAAACGCTCATCAGACGACATAACCCGGCACTTGGGTTTGAGCTGTGGCTCAACGCTTAGAACTCAGCTCCGATTGAGTCGTGTCGTTTCCAGTGGAGGGTGGAATAGAATGATATTTATGGATTTTTAGAATATCGATTTAAAATTTGAATACTTTGGAAAATCCTTATCTTCTTACTATAAAAAAAATGGAATTATACTGAACTTTCTATAAAATTTGAAATTTACTGATTTTTCCCTCTGTCATCGAATATACAACCTGGCACTTTCTCTAAGAATTCCTATTGAATTTCTATTGGAGCTCTATGAGAATTCTATTTAAGTTTTATTGTAATTCTATTGAAAAATTCTATTTTTTTTGCGTCAATTCCATTGAAAATTATGTAACTTTCCCCTGCATTTTTAATAGATATTTGTTTGTAGAAAAAAATCCATTTATTTTTCTAGATAATTTATTCTGTTAGGATTTCTTCCACAGAAACTATTGGGCATGAATTTTCCAAGTTTTGTTCCTGCATTTGATTAAAAGAAAAGAAGAAAAACCGAGCGGAAAAAACTTAGAAATCTTACGTCTAAGAAAATCTATAGGAACATAAAAACCTATTTACTTTCTTGCACCAAATTTTACCTTAACAAAAAGACTCTATGAAGACTCTATGACTCTACGGCGCAAGAAACGAATAGAATTCTAATAGAACTTCGAGAGAATTCTCATAGAATTCCAATAGAAATTTAATAGAAAGCGCTAGGTTTTTCTGTTGAATTTTTTCATGCGTGTTATTTTGGCATACCTGTATTCAACATTTCCCTAATAAATCGTAGAATATTCTTAGAACTCGTAGGCCTATCGAAAAATGAAGAATATCCTCTCCTGTAGCGTTGATAATTAATAATAAAGGTTCGTTAACGTTTTTCAAGTGATTATTTTTCTTGATTTTGTTTGTTGTATTCGCGAGAAAAAAAAAAGTTTTGACTACGTTTCAGTGAATTGTTCTACCTTGTATTTTCAGATTAATCCCATTCGATTAGTTAATATCACGTTATTTCTGATGAGCTTGTGATTGTTCATCTGAAAAAGCATGCCATCTTCACATTTATTCGATTGTTTTTTCGCTCAAATCACGATGCCATCGGACCTGTCAAATCATTATTGAGGTTAAGTATACTGGGATTGAGTAATTGGAGATGAACCTGAGGTTGAGCAGTGGCCATGCAACTAAAGCCCGGCGAAGCGTTTCGCATAATAGTCTAACGCTGGGCTGTGAGCGCGTGACGCGGCTCAACCTCGGGTACATGTGACGCGCGTGGAGTTTATCCCAAACTGGGCGTATTTCTAGCTGGAATACGGGTTCCGAGCCGAGCTCGAGCGGCGTGATTTCTACCCGGGGAGCGCCGTCGCCCGGACTTTTAGTCCATACGCTAGGGGTACTTCTGTGTACATTGAGATGTCCATTAGATTTTATTCCTGGATTCTATGTTTTCGAGGTAGCTGATTGCGAAAATGATGATCTTTTGTGCGAAATCGTGCGCAGTCTCTTTGTTTATAACAATTCAATGGTTTAAAACGGAATATCGCGGAAACGGTTGGCTATAGGGGAAAATATTTCAAACAAAAAATGTTCCTTATCAAAAAGTGGACATATTTTGTTTCATATTTTCTCATCGCTATCATGGTTGCAGAAATATCGCGGATGCAATTCCAGCGAGCGGCGCGCTGGCACTATTGCGCGGCGGCAACCCGCTCCGGAGTCTTTTAAAAAAAAATGGTTGGACGGAGAAAAAAATGGTTGAAACAAAAGATGTTCATTACAAAAAAATACATCAGATCAGTTTTTTGACTTTTTCAATTATTCCAAGTAATTTTCGAGATATT